AAAAAGCAGAGTAATTACAGTACATTAATTGGTATGAATAAGAGGACCCAAGTCACCCGGAGGAATATTGATGATTTCATAATTGACTCAACCATATCTCAATAGCTTAACGGATGATTCCTTTTTGGTTTTTTGAATCGTCCGCATCCCCATGGTCCTCATGCCTTAGACCATTCGTCATCGGGCATTTCATCCTTACTCCCCCGCGGCACGATTGCCAGTTACGAGAGCGTTAAAAGGAAAGAATCAAGTTCTGTTGGAATATTGATTACACCCTTGCATGGTTTGGCAGGTTTTGGGGGCCATGAGAACACTCAATCAGTGCTATTTGAAAGATGTGCATCACGGGCGGGCAGGCCGGCTTGCTAAATCACTTTATTTTAGGATGGAGTGATCACATTGTCCAGCTAATTGCGAAGATCATGATAACTTAGCCAGAACTTGATCGACTTTTAATCGAACGCAAAGTCAAGGGAAGTTAAGTCGTTTCAATGAACTGAAAGTCGATTTGATAGAAGTCGATTCAAGATAAATTGAATTCGATTCGAAAACTTACAAAATCGATTCGATACATCGGCAGAGTCCATTTGCGACGACATCAGCAGGTCGATTCCAGTCCAATTTTGGTCGATGTTACAGCTATATTTAAATTACAACAAGTCAATTCTCGCTATTTCGAAGAAAACAAAACTAGAAAGAGACGTTAGTGAAATTACCAATGACGTTAGCGAAAGAACCTATGATAAATCAGTCTACTGACTTGAAACGTTAGCGAAACAAACTAAAACGTTAGCGAACTGTGTCGTGAGCCAAACAACTCCCAGGCGAAACGACTGCAATTCCCTCTGTGGCCAGTTGAGCCGTTGAAAGATTTTTGGGTAGACTAAAAAGCTGATTTTTCAGGAGATCTTCAAATTGCAATAAGTCGCCGAATTCTGTTTCCAACTTTCTTCATAAAAATTACGCTTCTTTGCTCATTCGAATCTTTAAGTATATGCCACGGATGGCCGCATGTGTGATCGTATGTAGTAGGTCGTCTTTTCACTTAGATCAGCCACCTTATTAGCTAGCCTGGTATTTTCTGATTTACTTGAACGAATAAACCCAAGCAGTTTATCGTAGCTTTGCGACTCGATATCATGTGAAATAATTGGTTTTATCCGAGGCAGACTCACCTTCCGAGCATGAGCGCTTGTTTACTTTTTCTTGTCGGGTATAATATCGATAGCAATGGTACTGAGAGTATCTAAGGGCCTGATTACATGAGCCGAGCTGGCCCGGTTAGCCGAGCTGATTTCTTTTGTTTTCACGCTTTGGCGAACACCAAAACAAAAGAAATCAGCCCGGCTAACAGGGCCAGCCCGGGTCATGTAATCAGGCCCTGAGAACTGAAGACCAAACACCAACCAGAGACCGAAGACCTAAGACCCACAACCGAAATATCGCGCGCTACACTTTGTGAAGCGTTCAAATGCACGTTATTGATAGGGTCATTTTCTGTAGAAAAAGCTGGGATCAAATTACAAAACGAATATGTTCGCGAAAATCTTTTCTAGGCCACGAAATACATGATTTCGCTCGCTACGCTTTGAGAGACTTTAAATGAACATTACTAGGGGACCGGGTCTTCGTTATGTGCAAAAAGCTGGGTTAAACCACAAAAAAAATAACTTCGACTGATCGCTTTGCCGGTTGCCCAAATGTATCATGTAGGTAGGTGTTTGTTTTAAAGAAACCTATAAGGACAAGTTACGGTCGTTTATACAACAAAACATAACGAACAATACCATATGTTTTACCGCCTGACTTAGCGTTTCGGAAAAGGTTTTCGTTTCTACAAAACCAGGACCCCATCAATAAATATGCGTTGTCAACCAAGCGGAGAGCTAAGATGGCTGGATTTTGGCCGATTTCTTTTTTGCCTGTTTGTGGACCTAAACGAAGTTGGGGTACATAAACACGAGGAATGAACGAGGAAAATATCTAGCCATCTTGACCGCACAAGTAGGCTAATAAAGGATTTCTTAAATGGCAAAAATATTTCGTCTTAATAAGAATTAAAAAAATTACTTGTTTATTTTGAGAGCCCCGTGAGAAAAAAAAGTAGCACAACAGAGAGAGTGTTTTATGTCTTCTTTGTTTTGACTGTCTTTTTCCACTTTTTCCGACTACATCGCCGACATTGCGCACAAATTACGAACTTTGCAAGACCGCTCCAAGCAATTTTCTTCTTGCCCGATCAAAGCGAGCAATCCCGAGCCAATGAGAACACAGGATTTGCTTCATATTGCCCACGGGCCCTGCCAGCGATATGATAACGTGTGTTATAACGCCTCACAAAATTTAGTAGCGATGTCTCATTAGTAAGAAGTCTTCTCCGTGTTGTTTTCCTATCAATAGAAACCTCTGGCCATGGTACCAATTATCAGCTGCTGGTAAATCACGAAAGGCAAGGTCTATAGTTCTGCAAACACCCCTAGCTTTAGTAGCCTTTTTAATCGTGTCATCGGTATGCAATTCGACGCATTCAGTTAAAGCTAGGATATAGTATAGCACGTTTTTGACTCTCTCTCATATATATATCTCTTATCACAAAAGTGCGTGTTTCTTCATATAAGTTCTGTTCGCGCTAGGCTCATCCCGACGCGGCCTTTGCTCTCAACTTCCCACATTACACCCATGAATCTCTCTGCGTTTTCTTTTGTTTGAGGAACTCCCTCCAACTGTTCGCTTCACAGTTTTAAAGGCTATTTCATAACATAGTTCACTGGTGGAAACTTATCTTCCATAGCGCTCTCCGCCAGATCGAACGATAGCCTAGGATTGCTAATAATAGATATTAATAAATTCCACGATCCGAGCGATGAAAAATACACATTTCGGAACAAAGCCGTTTAGTTTGGTCTGTTCGTAGCAATCACCTTTGATAATATTCGATCGCCTCCTGTTTGTTTGCAAGTGTCTTTACTGATGAGCATTGAAAATTCCAACTGAAAGTCCCTATTTTTGTGTTCTTTGTTTATTAGCTATGTCTTTTTTCAAACATCATAAAACGGTAAGGTTAACAATCGAAAGAACTTTGACGCATTACGCTACCTTTGAACTTACCTATGATGCCTCTGGAGCTAGTTTGACTTCCTGGCTTAATTTAAGTTTTCTTTCAAATCGAATGAAAAAATCTTGGCTTTTAGCCAAAACATTATTTTGAAATGCTACTAAATGTCAATTATCCTGATTTAATTACAATAATAAACAAAGAAAGCATTGGAAATAAACGTTTTATCGTCAGCCTCGTTTCCATGTTAAGCGGCAATTTTTTTAAATAAACGAGTACGCAAAAAAATGGGAAAGCTACACTTTCATGATCGCTATCAAGAGAATTTGTAAAGTCTTTGACATAACCTTTTCTCCCGCTAAGTGGTACCGAGAACCTCTCTGGCACATGGACTTTATCTTTTTAGTATATACTGTTTCGTTGAGAAAAATGTATAATTGGATATGAGTCATAACTGATTGACAATTAATTTCCCTTCTCATTAAGTTCATGATACACTTGGGATTAGTAACCTCGTAAGATCGCGCAACGTGTTAAAAGTTCAGTTTTTAGAAGGAATCGTTCCGTGCTAAATTCTTCTCTCGTTTCATATGATTTTGCCAACCGAATGTCCAATTGAACTACCCCCCCGTGTCTACGAGTGATTATGAATAATCTGCTGGATATCGTCACAGAAGTAAGTGGTCGGTGATATGCGATAAATCACTCTAGTTCGCTCAATTATGTTGTAGTTTGCCCTGTAGTTTGCCCTATCTAATATTATGCAACGTTTTCCTTAATAGATCGAATAAAACCAGAAATTATTTATACGGTTTGCGTCATCCAGTGGATTAATAAGCCCCTTTTTCTCCCCGGATCATATGCCACATAAATTCTGATGAATAAGCCATAAGTCAGTATTTTGAACCATGTGACGGATGTTATCCGATGATATTGCATGATTTACAGTATAAGCCCTAGATGCGAAATGTCACGCAATGCTTTGGTATTGACATCAAAGTCACGCAATCCTACATCAAGCAAGAGGGGATCACGCGGGTGGTCACGCAAGCGAGCAAGGAAGCAAGACGCAAGAATTATGCAATATGATTGGACAACACCTGTCAGGTGGTACAAAATACTGGCTCCTCATTGGTATGGACACAAACCACTCGTCTTAACTACTCACAGAGGTGACTAGTGAAAAAATGAGTGGCAAGTTTTATTGACCTCCGAGCAGTCAAAAAGACAAATCGCGCCCCAAGGGTTTAATTTCTGTCAATTTTTCGGAATATTGGCTAAAAAATAAAACCATCTTTTAGGTGTGGTATATATTAAAACAGGTATTTACCTCGCTTTTGGTGAAGGTGGTGGACATTGCCTGGCCACTCCGCGGCTCGGTAGATATCCACTACTAGCTAATCCCACCTTAAAGATTAAATAGTGTTTGTGTTATTTTTTCGAATTCACAGGATGTTGAAGTTCACAGAGGGTACATCGGATACAAAACCGCGACTGAAAAGTTGGTAACAAAGCTGAAAGAGCTTGAGTTTTCGGAAGATTGTAAAATCCTTGACGTCGGTGCCGGAACTGGGCTGGTCGGAGAAGAGCTTTGTAAGAGGAAGTTTACCAACCTTGATGCCCTAGATGCGTCAGACGCCCTTCTCAAAGAAGCCGACAAGAAAGGGGTTTACAAGAACTTCTTTGTTGATGTCCTGGGTCCTAATAAACGAATACAGTTGGACAATGACTGCTATGAGGTAGTTATTGCCGTTGGGGTGTTTACTCGAAACCACGTGAAGGCGGAAGGCGCAATGGATGAAATGGCACGAGTTGTCAGGCCAGGCGGATTGGTCAGCTTCACGATAAGAGAGGACGTGATGTTTGAAGAAGAATATGGTTACGAAGCAAAAATGGAGCAGCTGTGTCGGGAGGAAGTCTGGAAACTAGTTTCCAAGAGTGAGGAAGATTATCACAGCAAAACCGACATCAGGAAATGCTACTTTTACATTTATCAAGTTTTGTAGGTTTGTAGTCAGACTAATCGCATTTCAGCTAAATGGAAAGTAGAGGTAGTTATCACTAGGTTTTTTTTGTTTCAATCATTCGGCTAGGAAAGATTTCCTCACACCTCTATAATTTATTATGCATAGAGTTCCTGGATAAGCAAAATAATTGAAAAATGTTTTAGACGCTCGTGAACCTTTACTGCAAAATAGACCTCTACACCACTAAGGCCAGTTCGATTCCTCTGAAATAGAAAATGCGGTAGGTATTAAGCGTTTTTGCCCCAATCAATCCAATTTCATTTACTCTTTCTTTCCATTTTGTGACGTTTCCATGTTACACTGTAGAAAGTTCAAAATTAAATTTGTTCAGCAGTCCATTCTAAATAAAACTGCTTCTCTGGCGTTCAAGTTGGCTGGTGGTGGTGAATGGTTAACTAAGTGACATTTGCTCGCTGTGTTTGGAAAGTATGGTGTTCATCAAAGGGACCCTTACTAGTACCTCATCCAGCTTCAAAGTAGAAATGGGGCAGTTGTATTTCAAGCAAAAAGAAGGATAATTTGCCAACGGGGTTTCCGTTCTTCGACAACGCAAAATTTGGTATTTACCCATTTAATGTTTCACAAGACAGCCAGGAAATCTACAACGTTTCAAAATACGCACGTAGAGCTCTTTCACTTGGCTTCACATTAAATGTTTTGTTTGCCATATTATCGATGCTAACGTTTCTGATGTTTACCATGCCAGAAGGGTTCAATCAGCGGCGTACGTTCGTTCAATGTGGGTTTTTACAATTTCAGGAGCAAAATATACATGAAGCTTTTATCTTGAGGGACGCGAGCGTGGCTATTAAGTGGGATAAAAATTTTTGTCTGGACAAGGTGATACACATAAGATTGTCATATTTGATGAGGTGTCAATCTTGGGATAAAATACAAAGTTGTAGGTTGCTTAAAGGTAGAATGAGCCACTGAATATCAAGCTTTGATCGGAACTTTTTTGAGTGTAATCAGTTTTCATTTGCTCTTTTGTGACGTTCACACTGTATAAAGTTCAAAATTAAATCTGTTCAACAGTCCATTCTAAATTAAACTGCTTCTCTGGTGTTCAAATCGGCAGGTGGTGGTGAATGGTCAATTAACTGTCTTTTGTTCGCTATGTTTAGAAAGTGTGGTGTTCATCAAAGAGATACTCACTAGTACCTCATAAAGCTTCAAAGTAGAATTAGGGCAGTTGTATTTCGAGCAAAAACAAGGATAATTCGCCAACAGGGTTTCTGTTCTTAGTCAACGCAAAATTTGGTATTTACACATTTTATTTTTCAGAAGACAGCCAGGAAATCTACAACGTTTCAAAATACACACGTAGAGCTCTTTCACTCGGCTTTACATTAAATGTTTTGTTTTGCCACATTATCGATGCTAACGTTTCTGGTGTTTACTAGAGGGATTCAATAAGTGGTGTAAGTTCGCTCAATGTGGGTTTTTACAATTTCAGGAGCAAACCTATCATACGTGATCCAGGAGTCTTACACTGATTTCGAAGTTTATACAAAAATACAGAATCATGTGTAAAAGCGTTCATTTTCTCCCTGAAAACCGCGTCTTATCCAACAGTTGATGCCAGTAATGTTTTTTTTTCTTTTATCATGAAAGTTATCCATTTCGTATTCCATTGGCTACTGAAGATGATTCATATGACATGTGACAAGTCCTGGCGTACTTGGAGAGGCAGTAGTGCGATTCTTACTATACTTGCAAGCAGACCAAGAATGCCTTTAATTAATAAGGCGAAATCACGTCCTGCGAACCAGATGAATCTCAAGATTCATTTTGAACTCGGCTTTTAATGTTTCAGCAGCGTGACAAGTTTCGTTAGCTGTTCGCTCTCCGGGAGCACCTTTTTCATCTCCGGCAACGCGCCAATCCTTTTAACTCCAATAAGTCGCATTTCTTGCGTTTACTTATTTCTTTTTGTTTGTGAGTTTGTGTTTGTTTGTTTCTTTTTTTTTCTCTATCCTTGACTCCTTCAATGGCTCTTAAATCATAGACTTGTCGTTTTTTCTTGATGGATAATTTCGTCTGACCTTTGCGTGAGGTGATGGGCTCTTTCGATCGCACTTAATTCACTGCTTTACTTATCTTGAATTAATAATCAGGTTCCTCCATTTTCTCATTTAAATTGCATGGTTCTACCCTCCACCCAAACACGTAATTTCTCTCGTCCGTGAGTTCTTATCTTGATGTGAATGGCTGTTGCAGTCTTTTGACATAGCCTCGTTTAGCACTCACTTGTTACTTACTCATTAATAATATTTTGATGACGAAGTTTCTCCCTTAACTCAGATACCAACATCTTCTCCCTGTAAATTCTCTCATTGGACTCCTCAGTGGTCATGTCTGAATATCTAAAAGACTGTTGTCTGGAAGGTGGGATCCTTTCCTTGGGAAGGGAAAACATCTCTGAGCTTAAATACTCCTTGCTGTCACTACGTTTAGGCGAGAGACAAGGTGAGTCGAGTTGAGGTCGAGGATGAGTGTTGTTTAAACTATACACTGATTCTATAATTTTGACCTCCATTGCACGAGGTATTCTCATATTATCCACGAACGACGGAGAGAACATGGCTCTCGAGTTGGTTTCACTGTCATGCAGTTGCTCAATGAATGCTCTGGGATATACATCTACTGGGTGACTCAAATGTTGGTGCTTTGCGTAAGGTCTGGAATTAAAAAATGACTTTATATTAGGTAAAATGAAGCTAATACTTCGGACTGTCTTCTCTCAAGGAATTAATTTGATATGGATTCATTACGTTTCCATATTTTCGATAGCTTTTTTCTTTTTTTGAGAGTTACGGTTTACTTAAAAATAGTACATGTTATTTGATGCTCTCACGAGACTCCTCTCTTTAGGAATATGAGTTTATATGGAGCATCATCTCTAATCTTCCCTCTCTCCTCGTCCTCCCTCACTTCTGCTACCTCACCCCCCCCCCCTCCACTTCCTTGTCAAAAAATATAAACAAGGAGGTTTGTAGTTGTTCGTTCGGAAAATAATTTTGTGTTTAGAAGCCTGCTCAAGATTGGTTCCGTTTTAGACATCAAAGGCTTTGAACCAAAGAAATTCATACTGCATGCCATAGCTTTTCAGGTCTTGTGGCTAATCAGGAAACTAAAAGAATAAAAAAAAAACAACAGAGAAAAAAGATACTAAGTGATAACCTTCCCTTGTCGCAAACGTTTCCACCCCCTCCTTCTCTCACCACCTTGCAAAATCTTCCTGTTAGTTAACAGGCTGTTGGTTACAAGCCAGTGGACAGCGTATTGGGACGTTCGTAAAATTCATCTACTGTATTTAATAAAATCTTCCTCTTTTACCCTGGTCCCAGAGGTTCTCTTCTCTCTACCGAAGTACGAAAATTCGGCGCAAGGCGCCGACCAACGAGCTCTAAAGCAGCGAGCGGAGAGAACCTCTGGTCAGCACCGTTGAGAATCTCACTTTCATGCCACCAAGCTGCGGGTGACAGCCATCAATCACGCCCCTTTCCGATAACCAATCAGAGTAAAGTATTAAAATACCTCTGAGGGTAGGAGTAGTGTTTTTACTTGTATCTGGAGTGGGCGTGGGGAATATATTTTGTTTCGTGGCCGTATTTACAATATCTGTCAAAATATTTGCTACACGTGCCAAATGACAAGCTCGCATGTAGTACGAACTCCAACAAAAACCCCGATTAAAATCTACTTCCCTCGGGCAAACGATTATTGCCGATTTTGCAACGAAAACGTCAAGNAGCACACATAAGTTGCATTGATTTTCATACCTTCTGTTTTTTCGCTTATTCCTGGTTTGACAGCAAACATAGTGGCTATAATAGATAGCCACTATGATCATCGTAGTGGCAAGGATACGGGCCACACACCATACAGCTATCATCCAAAAGGGAATTTCTTTCTCTGAAAAGAAAAGGCATAAGTTTGGAATAGATATAATTCGTGTCATAAATTTCAGTGAAGCTATCACAGGGCATATCGTTCGCAGGGCATAGCTAGAAGTAAATAGTTTTGAAAGCCAGATTGGATGGAAATTACGCTGCGGCAGCCTCGGATCGTGTTGGCTGGCTATGCAAGGTCTGCTGAGGAGTGACTTAAAGTATACTGGGACAGCATTTGCCGAGTTACTGTTAGGAGTCAGTAAGATAATTGATTTTGTCACCTTGCGCCTCCGTTGTCGGTAAAGAGGTAGTTTCATTAGCCATGCCAACCCTAGGAGATAGACAAAAAATATTATTTAATACGAACAAGAGATCAGACGAAAAAAAAAAGTGTTTTTTCGTCTCGTTGCGAGCATGGTCCAGGCCTTCAGGTGGTAATTGAGCGGAATACACTCGAACCTGTGTTAGGCAGTCACCTTGTTTCAAGCAGTTGGTTGTCAGGGTCCCGAATTTTTTTCTTCTTAGTCACTGTAGTTTTCACCTCTGTAGAGCGATCACCTCTATTAGGCGGTCGCGGTCACCCTCTACTAAGTCGCTAAGGCCTCTTTGTCTGTGTGTCACTAAAGGCAAAACCAGTTAAAAAAAACAACAACAACAAAACAAAACAAAAAACAATATAAGCCGTTTGAACCGTATTTCGCCATTGAGGGACACAACACACCGTGGTTTGCTTCTTTGTTTCGATCATCGGAAGCAGAACTCGTGTTCGTGTTGGTATTGACTGAAGTCGTTTAGATCAGCGCCAGTTTATTAATCAGGAGCTTTCCACTTCTTTCCGAACTTCCGAATTACTGTACTACCTTGGTGCATGAGTAATGGACTAACCATGTCACACGGCTTCGTCATTAGCGCTGCAGCAAGTTTCAGTTCGCTTACATACAATAAAAAAATCTAGTTAAACTACTATTCAAGGAAAAGTCGAAGAAACTTCTGTCGCTTTTTCTACTGCTATGCGATCAGATGAAATCGTCAGGATTTTTTATATCTCAATCCTATTAACGTAACTGTCAACCTACTTTTAACTCTCCACTTCAGTGGTTCACCTTTGGGTTCACTCAAGTTTGGTCGAGAAGAGGATTTAAGAGGGGTTTTATCTTTTATGCAAGTTCCGGCAAACTCTGAATGGAGCAAAAAGTAAAACCAAATGGCAATCAGGCAGTGTTTTTTTAATTTTTGTCCTTTTTGACCGGTGAGTTTTTTTCTTCTGGTCTACCGAGCTTAGTCAGTAAGCAAACTCGCCAAACCACCAGTTCTGGCGTAGAGTGTTTCGTTTGTTTTTCTCAATACTTGGTGATGAAAAAGCTTGTGCTTCCTGACCATAACACTTGATATGATATTACCCTTGTTTGCCCTTTCAATAACGCTGCCTTTGCGGAGAAAGAAGTCAGTCTTTCTTATAAGACGCTAAAAGTCTAATTTACCTCTGGATTGGTCACAACATTGACAATGCATAAATTTTCTGAGAAGGCGGGTAACAGAATCTAAGGTAGAAAATGGAGGCCTAAAATCGTAGTGATCTTTTTTAAGAAATAGTTCAAAGTATACAAAATGCGCATTGTTAATAATGTGCGTAACTAAAATATCGATTTTACGTTTCAGTTCGTTTTGAAGCCATCCATTAGAGACGAAGTGATTGAAAGCTGGTGAGGTTAGAAGAAAAGATCTTACTCAAAATTTTTAGTGAGATGTGGGGGAGCGAAATGATAAAAAATAAGTAAAGAAGAGGGAAAGAGAGACCAAAACATTAACGACAAACTCTCAAATTGACGAATAACAAAAAAGAAACGAAAAATAAAGCACAGCAAAAAGGGAACAAAAAATCTTGAGCTCAGCGCCCTAAACATATTCGGAAGACGAATGGCTTGGCCAGATCTGGAAAATATTGCTCCGTTTCTCCTTGAAAATTCACGAACTTCGCTATATGTTGTTTCTACATTCTGTTATTTAAATCGTTGAAGGAGAAAAGGTTAAACCTTGACGATGGCTCAGAGAGAAGCAGATACTTCGATGGTTGATATTTTGAATACAATTTTGCCATCCGAAAAAAAATAACTATGTGATATGCAAGTTACACAGACAAAGTATGTTTCCAAACCGGTTATTACGTCTGTATTTAGCGTTAGAGGGGAAATTTAATGGTCATTGTTGATTCTGCTTACAAGAGCGTTACATTAACAGAAAAAAATCGCTGTAATAATTTGCTATCCTCCAGGTTACATTCGAAATTTCTCCTCGATCAGATATTAAAGGTCTGCAAAGAATTTAAAATTTTTCTCTGAAAAACACATAGCTGGGAAATCAAAAATATTTACAGGCCGAAAATTTTCGTTATTCTAAAAGCTACGCGCAGAACACATATGTAAATTCTATTTTAAATGCATTGTGATCGTGAACATCGTCGACGCGAGCGAGTTTTCAGTGACGCTAAGAATTAATTAAAACGGTATTGTAACCAAAATGTCGCTAACCTATTTCATGGTGATGACTAAATGAATCGAAAGTAAGCTACAGAGTTTGTTGTCGTAGTTTATCACCACAAGCGCCTATCTCGAATCGCGTCGATCTGTTGTCTTTTATATCGAACACAACGAGAAAATCATGTTATTGCGGCGTCGTTTGCATTTGGCGAATCGCTTTAGCATCGATCGCGAGAATATTTTGAACTCAAAGATCCTAAAACTTCTCGTATATTCACGGTAATAGGCTGTTTCTCTTAACTATTATTTTTATGTCGTTCGCTTGATGTCATTTTTTTTCTCGTATCCTTTAAGCTTTCAAGTCTCGCACATTATTTACGAACAGATTAATAACGCTCCGAAAATCTTCTCCTCTAAAATCAATGCTCTCACATTTAAAAGTGTTTTAGGTATAATATCAACTCGACCAACCTTCACTTTCAGAAATTACAGCATGATGGGGTTCGCCAGTACACTTAATCTCCAAGGAACCGCGGGCGAATATTTCTTTCGGCAATAGATAATAAAAACACTCTTTGAATAAAACATCCACGAGAAGAGTTTCCTTATTGTCAATTCCAGGTGTAAGCGCCACATGCAGCAAAACACTGCTGGTTAAAATTCCACTTCTTCTGGCTGTCTTCAACAAACGTAATATCAAATTCTCTTCCTTGTGATACTTCTCCGTCAATAAAGAATCTAAAAGATTTTTCTTCCTGTGTCACTGTCTGCCTGAATGAGTTTGCATCGGAAACGTCGAGGAACGTATCATCATCTCTGATGTTTTTCAGCGACGGTCAGTAATATTTGTCGCATATTTGTTTTCGTGCCAAGACATTCGAGAGAGTAATAATTGAATAAACTCAAGGTAAGGAATGAATAACCAAATCTGTTTAAAAAAGAAAGGGATTCGGGTGCCAACACAGAAAATCAAGCGGATTTGCGGAGTTCTCCTCGAAAGCTCCTGTAAACTGTAAACTGTTGTGCGTGTACTTTAAAAACAAAACAGCACAAGAATGACTGCAGGTGATTTGACCAAATATGGAAGCTACCACAGGATAAAAACATGCGCCGAGCTTTTGAAACTGACAAAGGTACGCCATTTTCATGTAAGTTTCGTTCCTATTCAGCCTATCCTTTCCGGAACCTTGTTTGTAGTTCATAACATCGAAACTCTTGTAAAGGCTTCCCTAGACTTTTATTGTTTTAACAAGCATCATAATGTCAACTATTATTGTTTGCACCATTATCATTCATTTTCAGATGGAGGCTCTGTTCGAAAGATTAAATGAAAATGTCGCTTTCCGCTACAGACCTCCTTTAAACGCCAAAGAAATAAAATAAATAGATAAGAAGTTTACCAATTTGCATAGTTGTGGAATTTGTCAACAAAACCTTTGCAAAGGATTATCACTTCAAAGTGCCATCGGTAATATCATTTTAATTTAATTTCTTACCTCGTTAATCTCTTCGGTGCTTTAATTTTCCATTTTGATTCAAAAACCGTTGCTGATAAAGCAATAAACTCATCCAAAAATCACAAAATTCTGCGAAATAGATATTTGTTTTGACAGAACGTTTTTAATTTTTTTTTGTCATATATCTATATCTATTCATTTCTATTCAAGAACACTGATTATTCAATATTCCTTTGTCATTAAAAATGGTTTGACGAGATCATTAATTCCAGTAGGAATGGATGGAATACATGTTATACAAATAAATGTTTTGTCGCATATGAAATGAACATGAAATCAAACGCTGAGTGCAAAATTGAAAAAATGGGATGGCGCTGTATTTGTTTTTCAACCTACAAGTGTTACAAGATCACGACCCTCAGTGGAGACTTTTAAAAGTCCAAATACCGTAAATAAACAAATAAAGAAGCTTTGACAGTCACCTGTACTTTTTTTAAGCCCGCAGGATGCGGCAGGGCTAGAAAGAAGTGTAGGGAAACACAGATTTCGTCTAGTGTTCATCCCTATTTCTTGAGTTTACATTTTCTTAACTTTTACGTATTCTCTTTTTTTTTCTGGTTTGTGTTTGAATACGAAATTATATATACTACACGAGTGTTATCTGTGTTTGAGTTTTATTACCGTAAGTACTTAAATGACAGTCTAACTGAGCGTGAAAGCCTTCAAAACTCGGACAACCGATTTCGTTTACCGCCTCTGCTCACATTTAATACGTCAATAACGGTGCCTGGCATGTTTACAAACCTTTGTTTGGTTCTTCTGCTACTTGGTAGGTTTCCTTGAAACAGAAGATCGCGGAGCTGCACCAAGGCAGCGAGAAGAGTTTTGTTCACATTATAAGAAAGAAAGAGTATAGTATTTCTGCTTCTCTTATGAAGCGTGTATTTGTCCAATTTAGCGCCGCCGTAGACCACCAAGGCCATACGTTTGAGGCGCTCGAAAACGCAGTGCATGAGGTTAAGAAAAACATCATGTCGAACGTCAAGACCTGAAAGGAAAAGGCAAACATGTTTCGAGAGGAGATTAGAAAATTAGACAACATCTAGGTGTTAAGAAAGGATTATCGCAATCGCTAGACAATAATTGTCTAGCGCAGCTGAGCACGTGATCACAAAGAGGCGACAGCAAGAAAAGTAACTGTTAGAGTCCCTAAAAATGACGTGTAAGAAGAGAATAGAGCGAATCAACTTGGCTAAAGAAGAACTGGAATCTGTGGTAAAACAAATTAACCAAGCAGCTGATTTTGCGGAGAATCTGTCGCGAGAAGCTAAACTGCGGATATCATACAGAACAAATATACGTTGAGGCACAAAATTTGAAGAGCTTCGTGGAGTTGAAGTTCAGAGACATCGCTAGCCTACATTTGTTAAATTTACTGCCGCATCACAACACGGCCTGAAGCTGGGTTGTATTCACGTCACCGAGGCTAAATCAAGTCCTCTGGAAGGATTGGATCAAGGTTTCCAGGCTGGTACACGAGAAGAGTTTGTGCTGTGCTCGACGTCATCTCGAGCAGAGATAAGTGACCTGCCTGATCTTAAAGATCAAGTCAAATTCCTGATAAAACTCGTCAAAGATGTAACAAACGTGACTGTCCAAGACAAAGATGACGAAAATGTTAGGTTGATGTTTATCCCCAAAATTGCAAAGTACCTGGGGCTTCCGGTTTGAAAGTGAGGATGAATGGCGATAAACTACCTACCTGTCCCTTAACACTGCAAGTCAAAGAACGTGAACTTGTTGTGGCCGCTGAGTTGAAGTCTAAGTTTTTTCCAGGTGAAACGCTTAATGGATAATAGGAAATTGCTGTAAATACGATAGGCGAGATAGTTGTGACAGATGACAATAGCCACTGTGTTTATGTTTTTGATAATGGAAACTGTTTCTTGAAAATTGGAAGCAGGGGTAGCAATACATACGATTTCAGTTACCTTCTGGCATTCCGTTTAGAACTGGCAACAAGGTTCTAATTATAGATAGCAGCAATAATAGAATACAACGACTTAGTATTCGAATAGGAAATGTGGTGAAAAGGTTTGGACAAAACGGTAGAGAAAAAGGAGAGTTAAGCTTTCTAACAGACGTCACTGTGGATGACGAAGAGGGCATTGTTGTTACCGAGTTTGGCAATGATAGGATACAGGTGATGTCAAAGGAGGGAGAAACTATTTCCACAATTGTAAACAAAAGACTATAGAAACTATGTGGCCCATGGAACTGTATTCGCTTTAGAAACATGTTTCTCGTATTTGATGAAGGCACCAAAGCTTTTGATCAGTCAGGGACAATCTTATACCAGTTTGGCAAGGAAGGAAATCAAGTTGGACAATTTAATTGGCCGTGCGGTTTGCTTATAGGTAACTTCAAAAATCACCTCGTGTGACATTATAAGTAATCTAGTGCGACAGTTTTCGTTGGACGGTCACTTTACAGGCAAAACCATCACTCATTCATCGAAACCTACTGCAATAACAACAGCACCAGATGGGCTTATCCTTTTGAGTAGCTTTGATGAAGAAAAAAGTGTACATTTTAAAGTATACTTTTTTTTGATGACATGCCTTTATCTCTTTGAACACTGGAATATATTTGTTAATTTAAGAAACGAGGTGTTATTGATACGATGAATAACTGAATCTACAAAATAATTCGAATTTACATAACGAGCAGTTCAGAGGTTTGCTTTTTTTTAATGGAGTCTGTCTTAAGAAACCAGAGCCAGTTGCCTCTCAGGGCATTTGGTCATGTATCGAGGTCTTCTATCGTGTGTTTTATGCCCTCTTAACCCTGAACGGCTCGAAAAATAATAAATAAATTATAAATAAATAACAAACGTAAACGAAACCTAAGATCTTAATAGTGGTAATATAATTTATATCTGACCACTTGCAGCCTGAGGCTGAACTACGGGTGCAGTTTAAGGTTGAGAACAGACGTCAGCATATCAAGCGCCTCAGGCAGCCGCTTCAGTCCATCCATCTCACCTTCCCACCCATCCCACCCCAGGGGAGGACATCCATCACACAGTAATCTCGTGTGTGGGAAATTAACGTCTCCTACCCCAACACTGCAGGAGATGGGACCTTCATTTATTCGACCCTATCCGAGAAGACTAGAATATCTTACCATTCCTTGATGTTATAGAAAGGTAGCAAACTCTTCTTTATTATTTTAAGACCTTGAGTGTTGGTCCGGCCGGGACTCGAACCCTCGACCTCCCGCACAACAGTCCAGCGCACTGTCCATTGGGCTAACACGGCGATGGCTGACAGTTCAATTTCTCGTCCCACCAGCGACCTCAAATTACAAACCACGATCGCATAACTTTCCACATACCTGGCAACCCGCCTCCAGTCCTCTGATACGTGCCGGCAAAATATCAATTTATGCTAATTAGGGCTATTGCAAATGAAATTTTATCACGGCATAAGAAATTATGCCTACGACGACAAGACTCTTAATATAGACAATAATTCATCTAACATTTAGCCATTCAGCAAGCTGAAGTGGGCCAAAATGGAATCTGTTATCGTTTCGTTTTTCATCACATTCTTTTGTTTATCTCGCTATTCAGGTAAGTCATTGTCATTATCACTATCCTTTCGAGTGGATTATAGTAAGCGTTGAGTTAGAAAAGCATCAGATCAGCAAATGAATCGTTCCTCAATCATTCCTATTTGAGGGACTACAAAATAAGACGAGAAAGTTTCGCTTCTTCGCCGTGTAATGAGATCGCATGTTCATTGTTGTACAATCGATTTCATTTCAAAATCAAACAAGCAGATGATCGATTAGGTTGACAACAGCTGACAACGGAACCGAAGCCATCGAGTGACATTTTAATCCAAACTAAATGGAGTTCGCCAGAATTGTATGCTCTGAGGGACACCTTGCATCTTGGAAGTAACTGTCATATGACCATTAACATCGAACGACTCCATTTCTCAAAGATGATCCGAAAACTTTTTGTTATTAAGCTAAACCCCCAAAGTTTATGCATCAGTGCCGTAAATAGCATTGGTTCGCAATGAAAGCGCAATGAAAGTTTCCCGTCATACGATGTTTTTACCGCACCATGCTTACTTGTGAAAGTTACAAGTTTGTAAGAGAAGAAGTTCTTTGAAGGAAGGCAAAATGTTCGAAAGGTTAAACGAGGTGCACTTTTGTGAAGCGAATGTTTTCATCCGCATCAATTGTCCCTGTTATGCCTCTAGGATCACAACTTGTAAAGTGCGTTTATTATACGGTTTCCCGGAATATACCAAGCCCAATTAATTAATTGTCTGTAGATATCATGAGCAGTAATGTCCTACTTTGTGCGTTGTTAGTAACTCTTGCTTTATTAGTAGCTCTGGTCGACATTCACTCTTACATTAACTGAGTGCCTGGGGCGAATTAAAGTAAACTTTCAAAGGTGATGATTCAAGCATAATTATTTTTAGTTGTTGTCACACAAAATTGCGGTTTAGTAAAACTTTGGTCATAAACGTTGTTGTAGCATAAAATGTCAAGGAGGATTGTTACTAAAACAGGAAAACACTTATTTATCTGAAACAAATCCACCCTAAACGAATTTTGAAGTCAGTCGATTGTCAGGAAATGCAGCGGAAATGAGTTTAATTTAAATTATTGTCAACAAAATAGGTTGCCCTCCGAAAAAATTGACATACGAGCGCTTTTTATAAGAGAACACCACGAAAAACTATATATCGCCGTACAGAGCGCTTGACTTTGATTGCATAGGGTTTGTTCGAAGACCTTGTTGTTCGCTTCGTGTGCCATAATGCAATGTAACTGACATTTAACATTTCGAGCGTGTTTTAGTTTGGTCTGTACTCTTTTTGACACTGACTTATTGACAACGTCATTCGTCAAGACAGTGTTGAAAATGTTGTGGACCGTGACAGATTACATATATATTATTCAACTACAATTCGTAGAGTACAAATAACGCCCAAGACGAGTACAAATATCACACGGTATTTGTACTACAGAGAACCGGTTAGACAGGTCTTGCTGCATCGCGCAAGCGACGAACTAGATTGAAGTCACAAAAAGAAAATGGCGGATAACTTAAGTTATTTCTCTGACGACGAAGAGTCGAAATGGCTGGTGAATACTGATCCAAGTTTATTAGATAAATCGAACGAAGAAAAGCAGTTAGACGACCATGAAATTTCATCATTTATCAAAGAAAATAAAAACAGCAACACGACAACGCGCCAATTAATTCCGCTTCGCATACTTCTGTCACGCACTACCCGTAAATAAATATCCGCGAAATTCGCCCGCACTAAAATAACAATTTGACGTGTTGGATAATAAATAACTTATTAGACGTTTTTTTTTAATATACTTGTGTAGTATCGCTGGCTATTTTTACTCGCTATTTCTATTTTGACACGTCCTACGGACTCGTCCAAATACGGCACAACTCGTAAAAATACTCAACAATACTACACAACAAAACGTCGAATAAGATATATCTACCCCTATTTTCAAGAACGTTGCAATTTGAAAATATTTGTGAACTAAATACACCTTTTTTTCCCGTTAAAATGTAAGTCTGCCCCTCTTCCATAACGGCTAAAAATTCTTCTGTTTAAGATTGTGGAAGTATCACATGGTATGAACCTCTACCAGTTACGACAGTATTGAGTGCCGGCGATTACCCAACTCCAGGAGAGAAAAAGCTTTTTGAAGGACATCCTGCGTCTCTAAGCTGGAACTTCAGTTTCACGTCCGTGACACTCTTTGCGGTCGCTATAAAGTTCAATACTGATACCGTTGCTTTCAGTGGACCAGAAGGACAAGCTGCAGCGGTGGAGGATGCCTTCAAGGACAGATTCAATTTCTCTTGGATTTCCCAACGATTGACTTTGGTAATCTTCAACGCGACCGCTGAGTATGATGAAAGTAATGGAGCATTTCGGTGCGAGTTGACTACTTCGGGAGGAACGTGGATCCGTAGGATTCTATTGAAAATTTTGGGTAAACTATGCTTGTATTTTCTAAAGTAGAAGAGAAAAGAAGCTTTTTTTCCTGGAAAATCTCTCCCTCCCTCTGCGTCTCAATCGGCCACGGCTTTTTTGACTAATCTTTCTTTTGTATTCCGTGATCGATGAAATGAATTAATGCGTTGAACGCTTTTCCAGTATTTCAGTAGTATGCAGGATTCTCGAAGCCGAAAGACTACAGTAATAATATTTTGTCCCTGGCGGAGCTAGAGCTTGTGTCGTATAACAAACTCGTGGGTGCGATATAATTATTTAATATCTATCTTCGAAAACTCTTTTTATTCTTGGGTGATTTCAGAACCTTGATTTAGTCGAATTTGTCAGAAAAAGAAATGGTTTTGGAGAAAAGTTTCCAGTAGGGTAATTTAATCTGTAAATTTTTAGATATATTTTAAGCACACGCTATAGATTAAAAGTTAATGAGACAGGCTAGCTTTCTTTCGCACTTCTGATGTAAAAAGTTCATTATCCTATAGTCGGGGTATTCACTTCCGTCATTTTCGCACCCATTGTAGAGTAGAGAATTGTCTATACAACAGAAACAGAAACCGATCTCTTTACAAAAACTAAAACACGTTTATAAACTCACCATGGGGTGGGCCTAAAGAAAAATCATCTAGAGAATTCTTATTTATTGACCATATACATCTTTTTTTTATCGGTTTCCACCCGGCATCCTTCAACATTTTCGGAAAATTTCATCATACCCTTTCCATTGCTTCGGTTTCTCATCTTATGAAGAGTTAAAGAGATAGTGGAGGGTCCTTATACTTATCAAGAACAGAGACCTGCAGCACCTTTCTGTACCTCTCATATCATTGCTACTAGGAAGTTAACATTTAATTAAACCAGATTTGCCATTATGGTTTGTTGGTTTTTCTTTAGATAAATCAGATGGTGTGTCTTTGAAAACGAACGCAACAAGAAACAATGGTTGCGTCGACATTTGGGTGACTTTCACTTGCAGCTTATCTGATTCCAATTTAGCGGTTCATAATTATATGCTCGTTAAGAATGGTACAGAGGTCAGTCTTAGTGAGAGTGGGACATGGATAGAAAGGATTTCACGAGGAGAAACGTTTGTCTATAAATGCGTGGCTTATCAGCAGGTTGACAATGTCACAAGCAAAAATAATGTTACTCTGACTGTGAAAGGTAAGACTGCAATAAGTTCAAAAGGGAAAAAAAGCCATTTTGGTGCATTGAGTACCCATTTAAATTTAAACCTGTTGGTTAGTTTCTTATGTAGAAGGCAGCATGATCGAGTAGTCAGCGTCTCGGACTTGGAATCCGCCGCTTCCGGGTTTAAGTCCCGCCCTGGCCACTACTTAGATTTGTTTCACGGTAGCCCCGAGTTTCAAATCCTCGGCCATGCTTGTAATATAGCCAACTGGTTTGCCTTCGGCCAGTTGGGATTCGTAACAACGTTATCTTCAATTTGAATTATCTGTTTAAGTTGTTTCGTGGAAAACCCGTACACTAGCTTCTAGTTAAGTGTTTCTCCAAGTTAAACTGTTTATTATTATTATTATTATTATTATTATTTATTATTATTATTATTATTATCATTTCGATCTTATTCCTTCAAGTCCCAGTTGACGTGGAGGAGATGCGGAATGTAACAGTCATGGAGGGAACGCATGTGACAAAGGAGTGCAATGTGACTGCAGGGACTCCGCCCCTAACTGTTCTTTGGGAGAATGTTAAAAGTGATCAGATCATTGAGGGAAAGCTCTTAAACATCAGTAGCATCACAAGATATCAAAGAGAGTACAGATGCATTGCAAACAACAGCTGTGGAAGCAATTCTTCTACCATGTTCATCGATGTGCAGTGTAAGAATGTGTTCATTACGTTTTTCTCATGACTTCGTAAACATTCCGTTCTGCAACGTTTCTTATGTGATGTTTACCAGTGTTTATGATCATATCTTTTGATCATATCTGCATGGAAAAGGCGCGTTATAGAACCAGTTGATCAGATGTGTTCTCTGAAAATGTCCCAACAATTAAAATTATTTATCAGCAAATGAATTAGCAGATAGCACTACCTCGTAATAGTTTTCCTCTGTATAAATCTGTTTGTTTTTTCTCTTAAGAATGGGAATCTACGTTTTTAAGGTTTGAAGAGTCATGAAGATTAAATTCGAAAGGAAAAAAAGGGATATGGGTACATATCGAAATAAGGAATCAGAATTTTACCATTACCCTGTCTTGGTGTCTCCCTTCCTAAGGTTGTCTTTGAGTATAGTATAGTGAGTGGGTGCCCATGCTGATTAAAGAACGAAAACTTTGCAGCAAATCTTTTTTTTATCTTATATTTTTGTTCATTGTATTTTTTTTCTTTAGATAAACCAGATAATGTCACTTTGGAAACGAACACAACAGAGTACAATGGCTGCGTCGACGTTTGGGTGACTTTCACTTGCAACTCATCTGAAGCCAATCCACCAGTTCATAATTATATGCTCCTTAAAAATGGTACAGGGGTCGGTTTTAGTGAGAGTGGGAAATGGCTAGAGAAAATATCACGAGGAGACACGTTTGTGTATAATTGCGTTGCTTATCAAAAGCTTGACAATGTCACAAGCTCAAATAGTGTTACTATGACTGTGGAAGGTAAAAGTAAAGCAGTTCATACGAAAAATCGCCTTTTTGATGAATTGAATAGCTACAGGAAGCGAGACCTGCTGGGTTTATAACTTGTTCTTTGCTTTTATTTCTTCAAGTCCCAGTTAACTTAGAGCAGATACAGAATGTAACAGTCATGGAGGGAATGGCTGTAACAAGGGAGTGCAATGTCACTGCAGGGACTCACCCCTTAACTGTTCTTTGGGAGAATGTTAAAAGTGGTCAAATCATCGAGGGAAAGCTCTTAAATATCAGTAACATCACAAGATATCAAAGAGAGTACAGATGCATTGCAAATAACAGCTGTGGAAGCAATTCTACCACCATGGTCATCGATGTGCAGTGTAAGGACCTGTTCACCACGTCCTTCTCATTACTTTGTAGTTTTTCGTTTCACCAATGTTTTCTCTTTGATGTGTGCCCGTCAATAATGGATCTTTTAAAATATAAATGGTTGCTCAGATGTGTCGTCTGAAAATGTCGCCACAATTTATATCATTAAGAAATTAACAGAAGGCACTATCTGATAGGAGTCTTTTTACTAAATATATCTGGTTTTTTTTTATGTGTCTGAGAATGTAGTTTTTAATGATTGGAGAGTCATGAACATTGGATTTGAAGGGAAAAAAGGGAAGGGATGTATTTCAAATTGACCAATTCGAAATTTTCCATACCCTTCCATTTGTTTTGGTGTCTTGTTTTCATAGTTAAATTTTGACTGAAAACATAGTAGAGGGTCGCCCTGCTTATTAAGAAACAGAAGCCTGCAGCAAATTTTTTTACCTCTTTTATTATTGCTACTAGGGAAGTAACATTTACGTTATCCTGATATATCAATATTGTTTGTTTGTTTTTTTCTTCAGATAAACCAGATACTGTCACTTTGAAGACAAACACAACAAACAACAATTCCTGCGTCGACGTTTGGGTGACTTTCGCTTGCAACTCATCTGAAGCCAATCCACCACTTCATAATTATATGCTCCTTAAGAATGGTACAGAGGTCAGTTTTAGTGAGAATGGGATATGGATGCAAAAGATATCACGAGGAGAAACGTTTCTCTACAATTGCGTGGCTTATCAGCGGGTTGACAATGTCACGAGCACAAATAGTGTTACTATGACTGTCAAAGGTAAGACTGAAATACTTTCAAAACGAAAAATTCCCGTTTTGACGCACTAAATAACTATTTATTATAATCACTTCTTTCATTTAATACTTTAAGTCCCAGTTGGCGTGGAACAGATACAAAAAGTAACAGTCGTGGAGGGAACACATGTGACAAAGGAGTGCAATGTGACAGCAGGGACTCCTCCCTTAACTGTTCTTTGGGAGAATGTTAAAAGTGGTCACAGCATTGAGGGAAAGCTCTTGAATATCAGTAACATCACAAGATATCAAAGAGAGTACAGATGTATTGCAAACAACACTTGTGGAAGTAATTCTACCACCATGGTCATCGATGTGCAGTGTAAGTGCCTGTTCGTTATGTCTTTCCGCATTACTTGATTTTTCATTCGTTGTCACCAATGTTTGCTCTTTGAAGTTTGCCCATCTATAATGAAGTTTTTTTAAACATAACTGGTTGATTAGATGTACCCTCTAAAAATGTGGCAAAATTTATGTTAGTAATGGTTGGCAGAAGGCGCTAGGTGGTAATAAATTTCCTCTCTCCGTGTATATGTCTATATATTTCTTTTAAAATGAGGTTTTTCGAAATTGGAGCGTCATAAGCATTGAAAGGATGTATCTTAACTTGAGCAATTAGAAGTTTACCATTCCCCTCTCTTTGTTTGAACGTCTCACTTTTTACTTAAATTGTGATTAAACACAGTAAAGGCTCTCCCTGCTTATCAAGACATAGAAGCCTGCAGCACCTTTGTAGCACCAGTTTTATCATTGGTATTAGGGAAATAGCATTTATTTTATTCTTATGTATCAATAATGTTATTTTGTTACTTTTTTTCTTCAGATAAACCAGATAATGTCACTTTGGTGACAAACGCAACAAAGAACAATGACTGCGTTGACATTTGGGTGACTTTCACTTGCAACTCATCTGAAGCCAATCCACCAGTTTATAGTTATATGCTCCTTAAGAATGGCACAGAGGTCAGTTTTAGTAAGAGTAGGACATGGCTGGAGAAAATATCACGAGGAGAAACATTTGTCTACAATTGCGTGGCTTATCAGCAGGTTGAGAATGTCACAAGCACAAATAGTGTTACTATCTCTGTGAAAGGTAAGACTAAGGCAGTCTAAAACAAAAAAAATCATATCGATGAATGAATAGCTCCAGGAAGCGAGACCTGCTGGGTTCGAAACTCGTTCTTTGCTTTTATTTCTTCAAGTCCCGGTTGTCGTGGAACAGTTAAGGGAAGTAATAGTCATGGAGGGAACATATGTGACAAAGAAGTGCAATGTGACAGCAGGGACCCCTCCCTTAAGTGTTCTTTGGAAGAATGTTAAAAGTGGTCAGATCAATGATGGAAAGCTCTTGAATATCAGTAACATCACAAGATATCAAAGAGAGTACAGATGCATTGCCAACAACAGCTGTGGAAGCAATTCTACTACCATGTTCTTCGATGTGCAGTGTAAGAACAAGTACATTACGTCGTCTATCTAATTGCTTGGTATTTTTTACTTCACCAATGTTTGTCATTTGATGTTTTTCATTAATAATGCATCTTTTGAAATAAAACTGGTTTATCCGATGCATCCTCTGAAAAGATCTCAATGACTTATATTATCATTGAGTTAACAGAAGCGCTATTTGGTGATAGTTTCCTTTAAATGTATCTGTTTTTTTTTTCATTTAAAATGTGGTTTTTAAGATTGGAGAGTCATAAGCCTTAAATGCAGATGTATCTCAAAGTGAGTGATAAAAAATTTGCCATTCCCTTGTGTTTTTTTCGGTGTCTTTTCTCTCCTAATTAACAAATGGTAGGTTGTCTTTGAGTATAGTATAGTGAGTGGGTGCCCATGCTGATTAAAGAACGAAAACTTTGCAGCAAATCTTTTTTTTATCTCATATTTTTGTTCATTGTATTTTTTTTCTTTAGATAAACCTGATAATGTCACTTTGGAGACAAACGCAACAGAGAACAATGGCTGCGTCGACATTTGGGTGACTTTCACTTGCAACTCATCTGAAGCCAATCCACCAGTTCATAATTATATGCTCCTTAAGAATGGTACAGAGGTCAGTTTTAGTGAGAGTGGGACGTGGCTGGAGAAAATATCACGAGGAGAAACGTTTGTCTACAATTGCGTTGCTTATCAGAAGGTTGACAATGTCACAAGCACAAATAGTTTGACTATCACTGTGAAAGGTAAGACTGAATTAGTTTAAAATTAGAAATCCCCGTTATGACGCCTTAAAAAGCTATTTGAAGTGAAACATGCTAGTCGTTCACTTATTCTTTCATTCAATACTTTAAGTCCCAGTTGGCGTGGAACAGATAAAAAAAGTAACAGTGGTGGAGGGAACACATGTGACAAAGGAGTGCAATGTGACAGCAGGGAGTCCTCCCTTAACTGTTCTGTGGGAGAATGTTAAAAGAAGTCAGATCATTGAAGGAACGCTCTTGAATATCAGTAACATCACAAGATATCAAAGAGAGTACAGATGCATTGCAAACAACAGCTGTGGAAGCAATTTTACCACCATGGTCATCGATGTGCAGTGTAAGAACTTGTTTCTTACGTCTTTCTCATTACTTCGTATTTATTCGTTTCACCAATGTTTCCTCTTTGATATTTGCCAATTAATTAACATATTTTATAGTATAAATGGTTGATTAGATATATCCTCTGAAAATGTCACCACAATTTATCTTATTAATGAATGAACAGAAGGGAAGTAACATTCACGGTATCCTGATGCATCAATATTGTTCGTTTGTTTTTTTCTTCAGATAAACCTGATAATGTCACTTTGGAGACAAACGCAACAGAGAACAATGGCTGCGTGGACATTTGGGTGACTTTCACTTGCAACTCATCTGGAGCCAATCCACCAGTTCATAATTATATGCTCTTTAAGAATGGTCCAGAGGTCAGTTTTAGTGAGAATGGGAGATGGATGCAAAAGATATCCCCAGGAGAAACGTTTGTCTACAATTGCGTGGCTTATCAGCAGGTTGACAATGTCACGAGCACAAATAGTGTTACTTTGACTGTGAAAGGTAAGACTTAAATATCTTTTAAAGGAAAGATACCCAGTTGAATGTATTACATACCTATTAAAAGTGAAACCTTTTGCTTAGTTAATTAGTTCTTTGAAATCATTCATTCTAGTCCCAGTTGACATGGAACACATACGAAAACTAACAGTCATGGAGAGTGCACATGTGACAAAGGAGTGCAATGTAACAGCAGGGACTCTTCCCTTAACTGTTCTTTGGGAGAATGTTAAGAGTGGTCAGATCATTGATGGAAAGCTCTTGAATATCAGTAACATCACAAGATATCAAAGAGAGTACAGATGCATTGCAAACAACAGCTGTGGAAGCAATTCTACCACCATGGTCATCGATGTGCAGTGTAAGAATGTCTTCATTACGTGTTTCTCATCACTTCTTATATATTCGTTGTCACCAGTGTTTTCTCATGATTTAATGTTCACCCATTTATGATGTACAATTTGAAATATAAGTGGTTGATCAGGTTATCTTCTGAAAATGTCTCATCACTTTCATTATCAATGGATTAGCAGAAGGTGCTATCTGCTGGTGGTAGTTTTTCTTCAAACTATATCCGCTTTTTGATTGAAAATGTGATTTTCATGAGTGAAGAGTCATGGACATTGAAGGGATATATCTCAAACTGAGCAATTAGAAATTTACTATACGCATGCCTTTGTTTTGGTGTCTGTTTTGGTGACTTAATCTTTGACTAAACATATCAGAACGTCCTCATGCTTAAAAATAGAAGCGTGCGGCACTTTATTTGTACCTATTTTATCATTACAACCGGGAAGTAACATCTATCTCATCCTGATGTACAAATTTTGTTGTTATTACTGTTGTTATTATTGTTGTTCTTGTTGTTGTTTTTCTCAGATAAACCAGATAATGTCACTTTGGAGACAAACACCACAAAGAACCATTATTGTGTTGACATTTGGGTGGCTTTCTCTTGCAACTCATCTGAAGCCAATCCACCAGTTCATAATTATATGCTCCTTAAGAATGGTACAGAGGTCAGTCTTAGTGAGAGTGGGACGTGGCTGGAGAAAATATCACGAGGAGAAACGTTTGTCTATAAATGCGTGGCTTATCAGCAGGTCGACAATGTCACGAGCACAAATAGTGTTATTATAACTGTCAAAGGTAAGACTAAAATATTTTCAAAACGAAATGGCCAACACTATGACAAAAGCATGCGATTTTATCTCGAGGCCCGTCATATATATAATTAAGTATTTAGGTGTGCCTTTGCATGAGGCAAGGAGTGTTGTCAATCACAGATCTAAAGCCAATCAAATGAGCTCAAATCAAATAGCACCAAGGTTATAGGCAAGGTCAGTTTTTCTCCTGGTCCTTCTCGCCTTCATTTCCATAGTGTTAACATCCGAACAGAGATTTTTGGAACTGTAGAAGAATTTTCTCGCCCCCTACCCTTGCTCCGGCCTTCTCCTCAGGCTTTCGTTGCTTTTTTATAGGTATTTGGCTTTTTGCCGATAGTCAACCCCGCATTTGCGTAAGAGACTGCGTGATGTTTATTATATCAATGTTATTGATGTCGGGTGAGATAAAAGCGTCACTATCGTGGCCAGTTTATCCCACATTAGCATTTATTATTTTGATCTCCCGTTAATCTCGTCAGCAAACTAGCGCGACGTCACGCAGAGCCTCGGTCCCGTTTCAGTAGAAACGCGTGGGTTTCGTGAAAAAAATACTTGTTTGGACACCTTGAATAGCTATTTCAAGTAAAACATGCTGCCTGTTTAATTGTCCCGGGTTCGATTCCCAGACCTGGCGTCATAAGTGGATGAAGTTTGTTGGTTCTCTACTCTGCTCCGAGAGGTTTTTTTCCGGGTACTCCGGTTTTCCCCTCTCCTCAAAAACCATCATCATTTGAATTTATTTCATTTAGAGTTTTTTGCATTTACACACGAACCCACAAGCTCTTTAGCGTTAAACATTACCGTGTCTAAATAAAGACATTATTATTTTTATTATTATTATTACTATTATTATTATTACTATTATTTAGTTACTTCTTTAATTTTAATTTAATTCTATTTGATTTTATTTCTTCAAGTTCCAGTTGACGTAGAACAGATACGAAATGTAACAGTCACGGAGGGAACTGTTGTGACAAAGGAGTGCAATGTGACAGCAGGGACTACCCCTTTAACACTTTTTTGGGAGAATGTTCAAGGTGGTCAGATCATAGAGGGAAAGCTCTTAAATATCAGTAACATCACAAGATATCAAAGAGAGTACAGATGCATTGCGAACAACACTTGTGGAAGCAATTCTACCACCATGCTCATTGATGTACAATGTAAGAACAAGTACATTATGTCTTTCTCATTATTCCTTAAACATTTCGTTGAAGAATGTTTGTCAGGCGATGTTTGCCGTGAGAGGTTACTTTGCGTGAGGTCACATATCAGTAAGCAATTGTATGTTAGAACTAAGTCACTAAAGTAATATTCATATGTAGTTGAAAATGGACGTTTCGGGATATAATTATTTTGATCAGATATATCCTCTGAAAATGTCCCAACCATTAATATTATCAACCGATAAGTAATTTAGCATAGTGGGCCTATCTGGTGATGGTTTTCCTCTGATTGTACAGGCAGGCTGCCTTTTTCCTTACGAGTCTCTAAAGAAAATGTGTTTTTTTGAGGTCAAGAGACTCTAGATTAAATTTGGATAAGAACAATTGAAAGGGATGCAATTAAAATGGACAATAGAGTTTTGCTTTTATCTTCCCTCTTGCCTTTGTGTCTCATTTTCTGAATGAAATATTCCAAACATATAGCCGATGGCCCCCATAATTCTTTAGGATATGAAGTTTGCAGCTCCCTCTCTGTACTTTTTACCTTATATGTCATTGCTGCAGAACCAGTGAAAAAAGAAGTTATGCACACGTGATCCATCATTATTTTATTTTTCATAATGTATTTTTGTTTCTTTATCAGTTAAACCAGATAATGTCACTTTAAAAACGAACACAACAGAGAACAATGGCTGCATCGACATTTGGGTGACTTTCACTTGCTACTCATCTGAAGCTAATCCACCAGTTCATAATTATATGGTCCTTAAGAATGGTACAGAGGTCAGTTTTAGTGAAAATGGGATATGGATGCAAAAGATATCACGAGGAGAAAAGTTTGTTTACAATTGCGTGGCTTATCAGGAGGTTGATAATGTCACGAGCACAAATAGTGTTACTATGACTGTCAAAGGTAAGACTGAAATATGTACTAAAGGAAAGATATCCATTTTCATGCATTACATATCTATTGGAAGTCACACCAGCTCGTTAGTTAATTCGTTCTTTATAAACATTCGTTCTAGTACCAGTTGACGTGGAACAGATACGAAAAGTGACAGTTATGGAGGGAACACATGTGACAAAGGAGTGCAATGTAACAGCAGGGACTCCTCCCCTAACTGTTCTTTGGGAGAATGTTAAAAGTGGTCACATCATTGAGGGAAAGCTCTTGAATATCAGTAACATCACAAGATATCAAAGAGAGTACAGATGCATTGCAAACAACAGCTGTGGAAGCAATTCTACCACCATGGTCATCGATGTGCAGTGTAAGAATGTGTTCATTACCTGTTTCTTATTATTTCTGTTTTATTCGTTGTCAGCAATGTTTTTTATTCCATGTTTACCCGTTTAGAATGTGTATTTTGAAATATAAGAGGTTTATCAGATTATCCGATGAAAATGTCTCATCACTTTTATTATTAATGGATTAGCAGAAGGATTATCTGGTGGTTGTAGTTTTTCTTTGAAATATATATATCTGTAGTTTTTATTTTAAATATATATATCCGCTTTTTGATTGAAAATGTGATTTTCATGATTGAAGAGTCATGAACATTAAAGGGATGTATGCGGCTCAAACTGAGCAATTAGAAATTTACCATACCCATGTCTTTGCTTTAGTGTCTCATTTCGTGACGTAAACTTTGACTAAACCTATCAGAGGGTCCTCATCCTTAGAAATAGAAGCCTGCGGCACTTAATTTGTACCTGTTTTATCGTTGCAACCGGGGAAGTAACATCTACCTTATCCTAACGTATCAATGTTACTGTTGTTATTGCTGTTATTGTTGTTCTTTATTTTAGATAAACCAGATAATGTCACTTTGGAAACAAACACAACAAAGAACAATTACTGTGTCGACATTTGGGTGATTTTCACTTGCAACTCAACTGAAGCCAATCCACCAGTTCATAATTATCTGCTCTTTAAGAATGGTTCAGAGGTCAGTCTTAGTGAGAGTGGGACATGGCTGGAGAAAATATCACGAGGAGACACGTTCGTCTACAATTGCGTGGCTTATCAGCAGGTTGAGAATGTCACAAGCACAAATAGTGTTACTATAACTGTGAAAGGTAGGTATGTTTATTTTAAAAACGAGAAATTCCCGTTTTGACGCCTTGAATACCTATTTGAGGTGACACACACTTGTTGTTTAATTACTTTTTTAATGTTATTCCTTTAAGTCCCAGTTGACGTAGAACAAATACGGAAAGTGACAGTCATGGAGGGAACATATGTGACAAAGGAGTGCAAGGTGACAGCAGGGACTCCCCCCTTAAGTGTTCGTTGGGAGAATGTTAAACGTGGTCAGATCATTGAGGGAGAGCTCCTGAATATCAGTAAAATCACAAGATATCAAAGAGAGTACAGATGCATTGCCAACAACACTTGTGGAAGCAATTCTACCAGCATGTTCATCGACGTGCAGTGTAAGAACATGTACATTACGTCTTTCCCATCATTCCTTGACCATTGGTCACCATTGCATTCAGCAATGTATGTTATGCGGTGTTTGCTAATGTTTATTTTGAGTAGGATCACATACCTATGGGTAATTGTATAGCCTAGAATTGTATAGCGTTAGAATTGCGCAAAGTAACATTTCTAAGGGGTTGAAAGTGGTCTTTTAAGAGTCTGAGTTTTGAGGATTCGTGATCATTAAAAGTGACTAGAAACAAAAAGGAATGGATATTAAAATCAGCAATGAGAAATTTACCAGAGTCTTCGCATTGCTTTAATGTCTCATTTTCTAACTTAATTTTAACTAAAAGCAGTAGAGGAACTAAAAACCTGTAATACCTATTTTGTGCTTCATATATTATTGCCTCTAGGGAAGCATCATTTATTTAACCTGATGTGTTATTATTGTTCGTTTGTTTTTTTTTGTCTTTTAGATAAACCAGGTAATGTCACTTTGGAAACAAACGCAACATGGAAGAATAGCTGCGTCGACATTTGGGTGACTTTCACTTGCAACTCATCTGAAGCCAATCCTCCAGTTCATAATTATATGCTCCTTAAGAATGGTACAGAGGTCGGTTTTAGTGAGATTGGGACATGGCTAGAGAAAATATCACGAGACAAAACGTTTATCTACAGTTGCGTGGCTTTTCAGCTAGTTGACAATATGACAAGCACAAATAGTGTTACTGTGGCTCGAGGTAAGAGTGAAATATGTTTAATTAAAATCCAAGATCACCATATTGAAGTATTGAATAGCTTTTGAATGTGAAACCTTCTGCTGATTGTCTGCTGATTAATTACTTCTTTGAAAATATTCCCTCAAGTCCCAGTTACCGTGGAACAGATACAGAGTTTAACAGTCATCGAGGGTACAAATGTCACAAGAGAGTGCAATGCGACTGGAGGGAAAGGGATGCAATTAAAAT